GCCTATTAAGATGAACAGATACGTGATCTGGGGAAGTCCAGCTTTTATCTTACTCCTGTATATATTTAACATAATCTTTGTTAGGTGCCATTGACTTGACTCCAACTCACAGCAACTCTATGTAGAACAGAATGAACCATGCCACATCCTGTGTCATCCTTATAAACCCTGCTATGTGTAAACCCATTGTTATAATCACTGTATCAATCCACCTCTTTGAATATCTTCCTTTTTACATGTTCTGATTTACCATGCATAAAGCCTTTCTCTAGAGATTGGCCACTCATATAAAAAAATAATATAAACAATAGTTTTGGAAAGAATTCTCTTGAAAGTTAGAAAGGATATAATCTACATAGATCTGCATACAATGAAGCCTAAAAGGTCTCTAGTTTATTTTGGCAAATACAAGAGCATCCCAAACATCTCTAGGCTATTTAAATAGCACAATATTTTAGCTTGTTCAACAAGACTAGATTGGAGATAATTTAGGATTTAGAGTAGGGAACAATACAATGTGATACCCACTTTTATGGAAATGGTCTTTTGCTTGAAGAAACATATGCTAAGCAGGTAAGCAGGCAATTGAGAACATAATATGTGTACAGAGCAAGGCAGGATACTGAACATGGATGAAGGGTCAAGGCAGACTTCTTTCCTAAACTAGATCTTAGGATGCTGATATGCCCATATCATCCCAGGAAAGAGCATTATTCATTTTCAGAGACAAAAAAACATGGGATGGTGTGGAATGGGAAAAAACTCTCGTTGGAAGGCAGAGAGGAGAGTGAGAGGTGATAAAAGCCGTGTAAAGTCATTGTATATGTTTTTTAATAGAAAACTAAGTTGAGTGTATTACATATTACAGAAAATCCTTAAACTGCTGCTGAGTAGGAGTTGCTTTTGACTATCAACGAGATACTTGCACAGTACTAGGACGTGGAGGAAAGGACGAGGCTCAGCAAAGCTGGCCTCAAGACTTGGGCATCTCTCTTTAGCAGCTGAAGCACATTTTTTTCAAGTGTAGTGACTCTTTTCACTTTTGTGATATTTTCCTGAAAGTGTCTGGGAAGAGGACGAGGTGTGATGGAAATGGAACACCCATCAGGAAAACATCTCTATATGCTTATATGCTGACAGGTACAGGGGAAGGAATAATCTTTTGCAAGTGATAAAAGAATAAAAATTGAATTTATGCTCTAGAAGGCTCCAGGCCATTTCAAAGCACTGTGGAAACTGGGTTGGATCAATATGCCTCGGGAAACTCTATGAGCTTTGATAAATAACGATAATTATAGAAAGGGTTGCTTGCTATGATTCGTGCTTGACTTGACGGCAAAAACAACAACAACAACATGTATCAGAGAATTGCTAGCTTTTCAGAGAAACCACTTTAGGTGGTCATAAATTTATACTTGGATAAATATAAATTTAACCCCAGTTATGCATTTAATTCATGTGAATTCCTCTTATAAAATGACCTTTGCCCAAACTCAGAAAAGGACAACTGCTGTTATGGTGATAGGTGTGATGGGTCTCAAATGGCATTAAAAAGTGTGATAGTGAGGTAACTATTTCAGTAATCTATCAGAGGAAGTAACTGCTGAGGAGAATTATGGGAACAGAATAAAAATTAGCTTGGCAAGTCCTGCTGATCATTACATTTAATGACTCTTCCCTTTTTTTTGGAATAAAGCAAACTGTTTCTCTCCACACATTTACTTTCTTAAACCCTTGATTAATGAAATATCTTCCTTAAATTATGAGAGGTATTTGATTATGGGTAGGGGTTGCAGTAGACAAGTCCCCCCTGGATTTTAAATAACCAGACCAAAGTCTATCTTGCCTTTCTTTCCATGAGACTACAGCTGTTTGGCTTTAACATTTGTTCAGTGAGGTTTGTGTTTGGTAGGTGCTGTCAAACCAACTATGACTCACAGTGACCCTATGAACAATGAATCTACTCCCCTGAGCTTGCCCTCTTCTATGCCACCTTTATAATCCCTGATAAATTCAAGCCCTTTGCTATAGTCACTCTGTCACTCTATTTTGCTGAAAGTCTTTATCTCTTTTGCCAGTCTCCCACCTTTCCAAGTATGATGCCTTTTCCCCAAGGATTGACTCCTCCTAATGAAATGCCCAAAGTACGTGAATCAAAATTTCATGATCTTTGATCTAAGGAGTACCTACCTACACTTTATCCCAAACATAGTTGTTCATTCTTTTGGAAGTCTATGGGATATCTATTATTCTTCTTTAACCCCACGACTCAAAAGCATCAATTCTTCTGTCAGCCTTCTTCATTGTCCAGTGTTCTGACCCACAGGAATTGAAAAAAGATGATGGCATGAACCGGGTGCATTTTAGTCTTTAAACGGACATCGTTGTTTCTCAGTACCTTGGAGAGGTCCTTGACAATAGATTTTTCCAATGCAGTATGTCTTGATTTCTTGACTGCTAGCACAAAACCAAAGCATACCTCACCCTCCAGCAGGTTTTCTGAGGCTGTAAGTCAATGGAGGACATTGTCCATCTTACTCTCCCTGACTAGATGTTCAATTCAAGCTACTTAATATTTGGGTTATAAATAACATCAGTGAGTAAGCACTATCTATTCTAGCTCACTTGAGGATCTTCGACTCACTTGCTGATCCCCTACTTTTAAGTACTGACGTCTTCTGATAATATGCCCAAAGTTTGTAAGACCAAGTCTTACCAATCATTGCATCAACTTTCAATATGATAATTTGACACAGTGATTGCAACAATGGGCTTCAGCACATTGTGAGAACGGGTTCAGATCGAGCAAGGTTTAGAGGTCTTTTGTAGAAAAGTTTGCTATGAATTAGAGTCACCTTGATGGCACCTAACAACAACATCTTAGTCTTGGTGATCAGTCAAGGGAAAGTGTTATCAGAACACAAAAGGACTAATTTTCCATGAGCTTTTTGTAGAAAACAAAGACACTACCAAATATTCCTGCCAAGAACAAAACTGGAGACTAAAAGCCTGCCATCTCTCCTCTCATTCAGTCATCTCCTGCTGCGCCTCATATAGTTTGAACTCAGATGGAAAATAGAGACTAGGGGAATCTAAGTGATGAAGCCAATAAAAGGCAACTTCCAAGGGCAAAGGGAAATGATCTGGAGGGGTAAATGGAAAGGAATTAGCATATAGGATAAGGAGGTCAAAATAGACTCTCACCAGCTAAGCCTCTCACCCTGTCACACGTGATCACTTAAATCACAGAGGGACCCTGTGAGTCCTGTCCTTCCTGGATCTAACTAGACAGCCACTTTATTTTTCCTTTTTATATTTACCATCATCAGTCTATTTAAATCCATGTATAGTAATCTGTGAGGAACTTAAAATGGAATGAGAGTTTGGCTCACGGGGAGAGATTCTGTGAGAAGAAATCACTGTTGCAAGCACGCATAGGCCATCATCCTCCTAGAATCATGATGTTGTTTTTAGGTACCATTGAACCAATGATGACTTACCATGACCCCTATGAACAAGGTTTCAAAACTTTATCCTGTCTTGTGCCACCCTCACAATCAATGTCCAAGGATAATCAACCTTAGATTAATTCTTTGATGCAAAAATGTTGTTCCTTGAGAGTCATTGTGCAAAAAGATATACAAACATTCATTCAATTAAATATTTATTTTTGTTTGCATTTAGAAACTTCTTGTGGACATTATAGTAGTAACATGATACAATATGCTATTATTTTTTCAATTTCTACCAAGAAAGAAGAAATTCAATGCATAATATATGTATCAAAAATCTTGTTCTAACCTCTACACTATAATAGACAAAGTGCTAGTCTATAGGCCTTTCATGGTAAGAACCACCTTCCCTCTGTAACTTGATTTGTGCCACTACTAGAACCTCTACTTGGAATATTATTGCTTGTTAATTTTTGACTCATGTACTTTTAACTTGTTAGTTAAATTTGTGTCTTCTAGGTTGCAACACCTCCACGATACATCTTCAAGGATATGAACATGTATGGCTAAGCACAATTAATAACAGTGCATCTAACTTCCAAAATCAATCTCCATAGTAGTCTATGTGTTTCCTACTGCCAAAGGGCCCCTTTAGAGTAGTGAGAGAAGATCTTCACCCTGAAACCCACAGTGTCCCTTTTCAGCAGAAAGTAGCTAAGAGAATACACCATCCCCTTTTCCTTATGA